AAACTTATTTTCCACTTTTCAGATGTTCTCTTGAAACCGAGCTAAAATAACAACAATATTCAACTACTAGTCAGATTGAAATTAAATCGTATACACCGAAAGTAGAAAAATAAAGGTTCTGCAGTCATAGATAACAGGAAAAAAGTTGTTACTACCCTTGAAGTCAAATCAAAGCTAAAAGTATTGTATCTTTTCAAGAATTATTAGTGAAGACCAATAAAAAGAGGGCATATTAAAGTTAAATTAATTTGCAGGCATTGTCCTCCTGAAAATAAAAATTACAACAAGGAAAAGGATAACGCTGCATACTAGAAATGGGAATATCAATCTTACCATCAATTCCATAAAGGGCTTTGGCCAGTGTTGAATTCATGGCCGAACGGGCATTCGGAAAGTCCGCACTGCCAACTTCCATAACAGGCTTCCCAGGATAAAACATAAGAGATGCAGGGTTGGGTGTGGATTGAGTTTGAATAAACATGCTTCTCTTCTGCCCTGTGGAAAAGCAACGCCAAACTTAAATCTGAAGCTAGTTATAACCTCAACCTGAGGATGGCCAAGCCAAACTACTTTCTTTTTATTAATTTATGTCAAATTTATGAGTGACATGAAATGATACCTCCTCCAATTTCCAAATGAAATTAAATCTTAGCTTGAAAAACCCATGATCATTGATAAAATGGAATATTGAAAATGAAAAATAAAAAACAGAAAACCATTTTCTTTTCATTTCCTTCATTTTCCTAGATATTAGACAAAAATGAATAAAATTTCAATTTCAATTCGACTCCCTTTTCTTTTTCTCGATATTCCCAGAAACCAAAAGCACTGCAAGTTTAACAAATAAGAAACTAACCACCGAGAAAGCCCCATTTCATAGAAGTGAAGGGAGATTCAGAAGACGAAAAGGGGGAGTTATGCCGACCCTGATACGACGTCGTGGCAGGTGAATAAGCAGATAGTAAATAGGCCCGGCGAGAGATGAATCGGAAGCCATGAAATTGTCCAGAAGCTTCGCATCCTCTGTGAGATGAAAGACTTTGTCCAACCAATCTTCGTAACCCTCTCATCCCAACACTCTCTGCCTCTGTGCGGTGGAGTTTCTGGTTTTTTTTTTTTTTTCCCTTCTCTCTTTTGGAGGAGGAAGAAACGCAGCAGAGCAAGGGAAGGGACTGCTCGAACGAGTTCTTGTAACGCTACATACAGTATTTTCTTAAAAGTCACGTGGGAAGCACGTGGGATTACATGTATTTTTCTAAATATTCTAAAACCGGTTTTGAAAGGTTACCGATAAATACCTCTCCTGAAAAAGGAAAAAAAGAGAACCCAAACATCTAATGAATATTTGTGTAAACCCCCTTTAAATTATTTATACTAAAAAAAGGAAATGCTAGTAACCTTCTCTCTAACCTTTTTTTTTGGACCTTATCATTTCTCCTCATGACATGTGTCACTTTTTCTACACTTAAAACAATGACATTAATGCATTAGACAATATATCTTTTGTTCCCAAATTTATCCTTATTAAATGTATTAATTTTATGTTTCCTTCAATTTACAACTATGGGGGGCTTTTTCGTTCTGGCAGCTACAGATGGCCCTGGGTTGTCGTAAAGAGCGAATGGCTGAAATTACCCCATATGTCTGAGTTCAAGAATCAGACCCCAAGAATGCTTCAAAAGGGTAGCGGAGCCTTAAGAAGCACCCTGATTATCTTCACCAACAAAAAAGACAATTGCTTGCAGATAAATATTATGGAGGCATGAGAAGCTTGTGGCATGGGAGCTGAGCATTCGTGAGTTTAGCATGAGAGAGATAAGGCTTGGGTTTCCTATGAGAAACAGAGGCTCGAAGTGTGGGGAGAAGGGATTTTAAGAGGGTTTGTTGAGGAGAGAGAGAGAGAGAGAGAGAGAGAGAGATGCGGGAAGAACAATGGGTGGTTTGAGTAATTTTCCGGCAGCTTGACGAAAGCTCTGTCAAGCTCTGGAATAGCTTGCCATAAGAGAAAATGGGAGGAAATGGAGGAATATGGCACGAAATTGCTAGGTTTCATATATGAGAGATAATGCTTGCTCTCTGGATGTGGGTTATGGGAAAGAAAGAAAGAAGATGGAAGCATAGGTGACTTTAGCAGATTTCCAGCAGCTTGAAGAAAGCTTCGTTAGGCTGCTGGGTGGCTTGACAGAAGAGAAAAACGGAAGCAATGGAAGAACATGGCTTGAAATCGAAGGGTTCCAGATATGAGAGGGGATGCTTGCTCTCTCTGGATGTGTTTATGGGAAAGAAAGGAAGAAGTTGGAAGAAGAGAGCATGAAATTGAAGGGTTCCAGAGGGGATGCTTGCCTTCGATCGAGTTTCATGGTTGCTGGGAGGCTTGTAGCAACCCAGGTGAGTTGTTTTGCTGGGTAGAAAGTGCCTCCTTTTATAGGCGCTGGAAGCCCTTAATTTTGTCAAGCCTCCCTCCCCCTTTTTTTCACTTTCTTCCATTTAATCTTGTTTGGTGAAACTTCCGCAGCCTGAATCCATAGGCACGCAGCTTTTTGGGGTTCCAAGGCCCTCAGGCAGCAGGACTTATTAATGGGGTATTTCGATTTGGCAGTAAGGTCAGAACAATATTGAGGTTTAGGTTTTCCTCTAATGGTCCTACGTGGGAGAGTATATGGTGCAATGTTAGGTGGTTCGGAAAATACCTCGAGTGTTTCTTCATCACGAGACGATTGGTCCGATGGTAGGGCAAGAGAAGTTGTATTTTGTAGTTGATCATTGCAGACATTTGGATTGTTTCCTTCGGGGTCTTCACTGAATAAGAACGACATTTCTTCAGTACATTCATTGTTGTCCAAGAAAACACCTTCGAGATCACTGGAGCAAAGCGACCAGTTGTTAGGTTCTAGATGACCGGTCGTTTTGGGATAGCTTGTATTTTCGTCGTCGCTGGAGCAAAGCGACCGGTCGTTGAGTTCTGAGCGACCGGTCATTTTTGGACAGGTTGCTTGGCGACCGATCGTTTCTGGCTAGCGACCGGTCGCTTCATGGCAGTCTTGAATTTTTTCTTGAATTTTTTCATCCTTCTCTTCACTCCTCTTCCTCTGAAGAGAAGGGGGCTTGGAAGCTTCAAAGTAGGACAAATCCTCACGAAATGTGGCATCCATGGTGACAAAGAGCTTGTGAGTGGGAGGATGGTAACACTTGTATCCCTTTTGATTTTATCCATACCCAATGATCACACATCGAATGGCACAAGGATCCACCTTATTCATTTGATGAGAAGGAACATGAGCATATACAACACAACCAAAGATGCGAGAAGGCAACTTGAGGACGGTAGGAAGAGAGACGTGACGAGCCAAGGTGTCGAGTGGAGTCTGAAAATCCATAACACTACTAGGCACCCGATTAATTACATAGACTGCAGAGAGAAGAGCATGTCCCCATAAGTAGTGAGGGACCGATTTATTCAGCATGTATGCACGAGCACTTTCGGATTATGCTTATGTTCGGGAAGAGTATTTTGAATTTTGAGGAAATGGTGCAAGATGTGATGACGCATCATAGGATGTCCCAATGTTCAGAGGAGAACTCTCAAGATGCGGGTCTATTTGCAGGGAACCGTTCAAGCAAGCGTGAAGGCAAGAGAAGCAAAGGAAGGAATGCTAAGTCCAAGGACAATGAAGGGTGCTTCGAGTGTGGGTCTAAGGACCATTGGAAGCGGAATTGTCTGGTATGGAAGGAGAAGCAGAAGAAGATGAAGAAAGCCGAAAGTTTAGCCAACATGTGCGATGAAGACACAAGTGATGAACTTTTGACGGTTACGGAGGATAGTAACGGGGAAAACATGGCAAGTTCTTCGGGTAAAAGTTCTACTTCAAGTTGGATATTAGATTCCGGGTGCTCATATCATGTGTGTGCAAATAAGTTAATGTTTGACACATATGAGGCTAAGAAGGCATGCAAGATTATGTTGGGAGACAAAACTACATGTGAAGTTTTGGGCATAAGGACTGTGAAGATCAAGTTGCAAGATGGTGAAGTTTGGAGTCTTAGTGAGGTAAGGTTTGTACCTGCACTAAGAATGAATCTACTCTCTCTTGGCTCTTTGGATAGAGAAGGGTGTTCTTACAAGGCTGAAGGAGGGAAGCTCATAGTCATACAAGGTTCTGTTGTGGTTATGAGGGGGGAGATTCAACCAAATAACACATACAAGCTTTTGAGTGGTACATTTGCAGGAGGTGCATAGAATTGTACCAAGGAAGAGTAGACAACATATCTTAATATCAAGGAGCCGATTCAACATAATGCAGCTACAGGTTTGCTCAAGACAAGTTGGGCAAGGAAGGTTAGTCAAGGTTGTGTGACTAATAGTTCATCATCAAAGGTGCTTGATTTCAAAGGTGCAGAAGCTGTGGAGTCAAAGGAAAAGATCCACAAAGGTGAAGTCAAGACAAGGGATGATGGGGAGAATGTTGTTGAAGAGAAGCTTCTTGCCAAGGTGGTGATGGAAGAGACTCCATTTGAGGTAGAGCTTGACACAAGGGCTGAAGAAGGAGGGCAACAACAACAAACTCACAAAGAAGTTCTACTTGAGGTGGAGCCATCATCAATTACAAGGTCCGGGCCCAAGGAATCCATCAAACAGTTCCTAGGTTTTGGATGGATGGACCAAGAAATTCCAGCCACGTTTCGGAGTGCTATAGAGAGCATGAAGCGGGAAAGTTGGAGAGGTGCATTGATGAAAAGGGATATGTTCTTAAATCCAAGAGCAAAGTTAGCTAAGTAGGGATTTATTGAACAAAGGATAGGTATGCAATTGGCATATCAAGGCATGTCTAAGATTCAAGGTTCCAGAAAGGCATGGAGTAAGGAATTTGGCATGGGGGATCTCTCTTCTGCAAAAGAGGTCCAGGTTACCCAAGTTTAGAATTGGGTGGAGCACCTTCCACCAAAGGTGCATTGAGACAAGAGGGTTATTGCCATGGTGGAGCTCTTGGAAATTACTAGAACGATTTCTAAGAGATTTGAAGAGGTTCTAGAGGTTAACAATATTCACGGGTGATTAATGGTTCACAAAGGTAGAGATTGTTGTAAAATTGGCTCACAATTAGTATGTAGGTGAAGCAGGAGGCGATCGGTCGCTAGGAAGGAGCGACCGATCGTTTTGAAGCAGAGTTGAAGAAGATGGAAGTCGCAGCAAGCGACCGGTCGCCAGGTAGTAGCGACCGGTC